AAAAAAAAGGAATATTGAAACTTCTAAATGTTTACATAACTACAAATAAAATTGTCAGCTTAATTCATTGTTAAATTTGGTATTTATTCTAAAATCTGCTTTAAACTATTTTTAATAGAGATTTCTTTTTACTTCTCAAGAATGTGTTTTGTAATTGCAAAGATATCATAGCCAACATAAATGCATTGTGTGTGTCTAAAGAATTTCAAAAACGAAATTATTAAAACCTTTTCAAAATATTTTTGGCAAATTTATATTTCCGTGGTCTTTAGGGGCATTTAATATGTTTGGTATGATGTGGGCTGGGGTTTCAAGGGGGAACATCTACCTCAGGGGCTGTGAACAAACACACTTCATTCCCCCCGAGCCCCTTTGTATTGTCCACAAATTTTCCCTCCTGGCTCTAAAATTAGCATGCACATTTTGAAAAATAAGCATCTATGTGGATAATTTACAAGTTCAAGGAAGACCAGTAAATCCTGAGAGAAGGAGAGGGGGTGATCTAAGGCAGAGGAGCCTGGTTACCTTGGGGAGTGCCCTGTGGTCTCAGTGTTTGGGATCCAGCTTTCAGCCCCTCCAGGCTCTGACCCACGGAGAAAGCAGATCTTTGTGAGTGGCCCACTCACATCTGCCCAGCTCAGCGACTAGGACTGACGTTCAAGATGCCGGGTCATCCATGTGCAACGGAAAGCACAACCATTGGAAGAACTGGTCACTCATACCCTCTGGGCACTGCCTTTTCTCCCACGTGGACAGCCATCTCATCATCAGAAGTTGACGAGCCCTGATTTGGAGGTTAACGCCATCTGGCCACTCAAACCGATGGAGGTGTTCATTGTCAGCATGGGCCTTTGCCAATGGGACTTGACTCGCCCTTGCCTAGACACACTGCTTCTATGGGTCCAGCATCGATGGCTTCCATGACTGCTGTTTTCTGCATTAGGCTGAGTCACCTCCCTCCCTTCTGAATGGTAGTTTCATCTATTAAACTGAAGTTGCAGGCAGATTCTGTTGGCTTGGGAATCATGCTTTCTTTTTAAGGTGACTTTTAATATATCTGATTGGACCATGCCAGTGCTTAGCTGTTGGAAGGAATCTTTATTCCTGTTTACCTAAATTCTTGGGGGATCTCACTCTGACCCACAGGCTCATCCAGGAAGGCACAGGAGGTGAGAGGGGATGGGTTGCCTGGGCTCTCCTCTCCTTGACTTTTCTGTTGGCTGACTTCTCTTTCAGGACCACCTGTGTCTTTATGTTTTCCCTCAGAGAGGCCTCTTGTTCCAGGGTGATCCCCTTCTTCTTCATGGAGGCTCCATGGGAATATGGATCCTGAGAATGGTGCCTTCTGAAAGGTGTACATGGGCTCCCAGCTTTCAAGGCCAGACTCTCCTGTTGAGGGGAGGTGGGGATTGGAGAGTCACTCTCTAAGGCTTCTTCCCAACATCTTTGGGTAGATCCTCACACGTATAAATCCCTGGGGCCCTTTCTTCTCTCTGTGGTGTGAGAGTTTATGTTCAGAAGACCTGGGTTTAGTGCTAGCTCTCCCCTGTTTCTAACTGCACAACTTCTGGCAACACTAAAGAAACTCCATTTTCTCATTTGATCTGAGCTTGATTATATCTGCTTTTCTGTTGTCGCAGGTCTGTGTAGGGATTATATGAGCTCGTGTGTGAAAGGAGATATCCAGTCATTCAGTTCTTTCAACAAATTTGTATGGAATGCCACTATTTGCCAGGCACTCTTTCAGGCACTAAAGGAAACCCTGGTGGCATAGCACTTAAGAGCTACAGCTGCTAACCAAAAGGTCAGCAGTTGAAATCCACCAGACGCTCCTTGGAAACCCTATGGGGCAGTTCTGCTCTGTCCTGCAGGGTCGCTATGAGTTAGAATCGACTCGACGGCAATGGGTTACTTCAGGCACTGGGGAAAGAACGGTCAAACAAGCACATGTAATATTCATGGATTTTTCCGAATTCCCCTCCATTGAGGGGGATCATTTTGCGTTCCCACCAGAAGACTGTGGATGTGCTGCTTCTCCACAGCCCCGTCAGCAGAGTCTGTCCTTACACTTTCAGATGTTTGCCAACCTGATGGTGAGAAGTGGTATCTCCATATAGTGTTCATTTGCGTATCTGTTATTACAGACGAGCTTTACCATCTTGTCATGCATTTAAGGGTCGTTTGTATTTCCTCTGTGAACTGTCTGGTTATTGCTTTTGCCCATTGCTATTTCTTATTTTGTGTATTTGTGCTTTTTCACCCACACCTTTTTTTACTTTTTTAAAAATTAGATTGGTTAGTGGTTTGCCTACTTTGTTGATT